GAATCTTCCTAATGTTCTATCACCAAATTCAAACAAAACCTACATTTTCTTCCTCTCTTCATGTGCAACTTTTGGCTTAAACATTAATGTTTAATTATGCCTTTACAAAATCATTGAATGGCACATTTCCCAATAATATTGTTTCTAAACTGAATTGTGACTATAGATGTAAATCAAATGGGTGGAGAGGTTGTTTTGATTGTTGTTTTTACAGAATTTAAATGGTGAATCTTTACTCCCCCTCTCCATCTTTGTTAATGCAACAGAATCCTGCTTTTTTTAAAAAAGTCCCTAGCAGCTACATAACAATTTATCTGCTGACAACTCAGCCATCACCCTCTTTACATAAAACACATTTACAATAAAATCAGTATGGATTTCATTAGCTGAAAACCTCCTCGAATTTCATTTCTTTGGCCCTAATCTATAATTAGTGTGGACAGACAGGTGCAAGCCCTTCTCTTCTACAGATGGCCACTGGAAACGGTGCGAAGGAGCTCCTTCTGTTTAAACAACACAGAGACAACCTGCTCTTCTCTTATCACTTACAATTACCTCCATTAAACTGAACTAATGTTTACTTTAATAAAATGTCCACTGTTCTTTAAACAGTATTTAGGAACTTTTACATCCACAGTGAAAAAGGTAAGGATGGAAAATTTCTTTTTAGATTATGACCCTTTTTTTCAAGTTAAATTGCTCATCAGGAGCTAATCCCTTTGGATTCACAAAGGTATCTGGATGATTTTTTTTACATGTTAGTTATGTTGAAAGTTTGTACTTCTTTTATTATTAAAAAAGGCTTTTTAGTTACCTATATAATACTTTTGCCTTTATATTTATGGAATCTTGCTATATAGTTCTTGAAATTTGGAAACAAGGAGTTTATAGTCAGTATATATTTACATTTATAGTTGGTTAAGCCCTATAACTTTCAAAGCCTCAGTTTTTCAAACTTATTTTAAATGCTTAATTCTCCCTGAGGTATGAATACCAATTAAAATTATCTGGGGTCTGAAACTATCAGTATATGGTGTTTTTTTTAATTAAGCAAACTATAAAAGGAAGATATTCATTTTACATAGGTACCGGTAAAACAACTAATCAAAATCAAGTGTACCTCCCTCAGTTTCAGCTATGACTCACTTCAGGATGACTGGTAGCACAAAAAAATTTTTTTAAATCCCAAACACAGTAATATCTTCTCTCACTCGGCTTACATAAATTACAGTAAAGAACTCCAGCAAGATGAAAACTGACTTGTTTCTCCACATGCAAATCCTGCAGGTGCCAGTTTTTCAGAATGCTTTGCTAGCTAGGCTGCCTGCGCAGAGCCTCAATGAAGCGGGCTTTGCATTCAGTGCCTGTCAGCTGATGCTCTTATCAAAGAAGTGAGAAACAAGATTTGACAGAGGAGAATGTCCAGAACTGACAAGCCACTGACCAGCATTCCAGGTGGAGGCATTTTCCTCCCATTATGATCCCCCTTTTGCCATTTACTTTTTTTTAAAGCTTTCTTAGCTAAACTTCTATTTATAAACACTGAGCCTATTATGTGGAAGACCAATCTCCATTATTTTTATTTATTTGGAGGAGAGGGGGGATAAAAAAGAAATAGGTTAATCAAATATGCCCATCATGGTTAATATTTTATTCCTAGCAAAATCTGGCAATTCATTTTAGAACTGAAGGTCCTTGAGTAAAACCAACTCATGCAGCCAGTTGCTAGTGACCTGACTTGACACCACAGTCCCCATGCTATTGATAGTATGCTTCTTGTTGAGTAAGCCTTTTAAAGTATTTCAGACTACATGATTATTGGAAATGATTATCACAAACAGTCAAAGTAAGTTTGGGGAAGATCAAGAATGCTATCTCAAAAATTCTTTGTCTAGCCTCAGAGCTCTGTAGGCATTAAAACAATACAAGATTGTTCCTCCGCCATTGTTTGTAATGAATATGAATTGTTAAAAAGATTAGACTAGGAGATCCACTTAGTCCATCAAGTGAAAAAATTGTTTGCATGGTTTAAAATCAAATTCTTAATACTGAAACAGATATTTAATATGCAATTGTTTTCTTCTCAGATCCTGAAAAAAATCTGTTTTCACACACCAGATATAAAAGAGATGCTTAAAAGGACTTCTAAGTGCAGATATGTGTAAACATATTTAAGAGCCTCAGAAAAATGTTAAATACAGTACAAGCAAACAAAACAATGACACTTAAAAACTTCCTCGGTGTTTACCCTGCATTTAGGAAAAGTCTTAGTCAAACCGCATTCCATGATTAAAACTGTATCAAGATTGTGACACTCCATAGGCACAGTGACAACCACTTTTTTTTATCAGTCACCTTCCCCCCCATATCTAAAATCATCAGAAAGTTAAATCATGACCAAACATGGAAGACAAAAAAGTAAAACAACTGAAATGTAAAGCCAGAGACCACAGAAATAACTTTTGTCACACTCTTCCCTCTCCTCTCAGGATGGCCAACTGAACCAGCAGTCATATACTAAACTTCTATTGAACTTTTCCCAGGAATGATGGAGTAAGGACCAGAACAAATTGAACAATGGAATACTTACAGGGTCAAGGTAGAACTATTCAGTGCACTAAAACTGATGGCCACAATGCTAACAAACCATCTATCCTAGACTGGCTGACTAATCTTGTAGGCTTTTAAGTGTGAACTCACTGGGCAGAGAGCCATTCTAACTCTTGTGCTCTTTCCAATACTGGTAGTTTATTTATAGCAAAAACTGATGATAAAAACCACTGGAGTGTCCTTAACAAAACGGTACAGCTGTTTAAAAGAAGGAGAGTGGGGAATGTCCTCCATAGCAAATTTCAAGTTAGTTTGCACATAAGGAAACTGCTTTGGTCAGCAGCTCGACCTTTATCAGGGGATAAATCAATTTGCAGCAGCTGTGGACAGCCATTTAAGTACAAGGCCTGAACAGATTAATTAAGGGAAGCGATGTTAAAAATTAAAAGGGTCCGAGTTATATTAAGTACATGAAGTTTGGCTAGAGCAGCTTTTCTTCCCCCCTTTCAATCCTACCCCCTCTTCTCCCCTCCCCGCTTCATCTCCCCAGGAATGCATTCCGAGGCTCACAGGGCACCCCGCCAGCCCCGATCCTGGACATACATACCCTTTGCCCTAACGTTTTTCAGATTTCTTCCCCAAAAGAAACCAGACTGAGACGTGCTTAACTTGTTATACCCGTCCCCCAAAGGAATCTGAGGCAAATACTCATCGGAAGGATTTGACAATAAGATGAGTACAGCAAGCAGAATAAGAAAAGGTTTCTGTAGCCTGGGTTTTGCCCTCCTCCCAGTCCCTCCCCATCCAGTCTCTTTTCATCTTCCCTGCCCCCAACACCGAACTGGTAACAAGTTCTCTGGCAAGGTGTTCCTGGACTGACCGGTTTGGGAAAGGGATGTAGGATGGTTATTTTTAGAATAGCAGTCGTGGAGCAAATCCTACTTCCCGGGATCTCAACACATGGACTATCTATCCTACCCAAAGTCTGTCCGGTTTCTAAATGCCAGACTTGAGTCGCTTCAGCCCAGGGAAGAGAATATGAAGCTGCTCGGGATCTGAAATCTAATTTCGCTCGAATGTGGCATCCCTCCTTGTCACCCCGCCCGGTCAGTCCCGCAGGAAGGACGGTTAAGGCTCCCTTTCTAAACCCTTTGCTATGAGCAGCAAACCAGCAAGCGACACTACCTGAAGAACGCTGGGAGGGGAAACATAACAATTTGGCCAATGCCCTCCCCCGGTCGCTTTCTGAACCGTACAGCCCCCGGAGGTCTGCGGCGTGGGTAGACCAGAGCGCCCTTCGGAAAGGGGTCGAGGGGTTCTACCCAGACTAGCTGGGCAGCTTCTCTCCTTTTCGTATTTGCTCTGTTCTACGGGGCTAACTCAAATGCCTGAGACCTTTTATACTTGAGAGAAGCGGCAAACTGACTTATCCCACAAGCTGCTAAGTGAAATATGCAAAAAAGGAGTACGGAGTGGAACGAAAGGGGCAGGCGGAAGGGAGTTGGGGGGAAGGGAAGCTGAACCTGAGGTCTCTGCCCCAGTTTTACACTGTGCAGAGACTGGGCAGACCCATCCGGCACACAGACCCGGCCTTTTCTCACGATGATGCAACAGGGAAATGTCAACAGCATCTCGTGCGGGGTTGTCACACTACCTGTCGTGTTGTGTGTTTTTTGCCATTAAGGAAAAAAAAAGGCAAGGGCCCCTCAGATACACAAAGTTATAAAGCCATCTGAAAGTGTTTCGGTATTGACAAAATTTTCCTAACCCCAAAGTACATACTGTAAACAGCTGGAACATCAAAGTTGGAGATTTTGCTTCGCTTATTTTAATTTTTTTAAAGTCCTGAATAATAATTTTAAGACATAAGTAATAATCATCTGCAATGGACTAAAATATTAGCCCCTTTTTTTTGCAATCTGCCAAATATAAATTAGGGCATAGTATTCTTTAAAAAGTTTTTGTTCTCCCCTTTTAGAATCATTATTTGTTCCCCTAATCAGAGTGTAATTTGGGGAAGTAATTACAAAGAAATGTTTCTAATAGTTTCATGAAATATTCTTCATACATAATATTTTGCTGACTCGTGAAGTTGATAACAGTAGCTTTCCCCCCCCCATCAACTGGCAAGGTTCTACACGAAACAGCCTGTGATCCTAGGATTATTCTCATCCCTCCTCTCTGTTATGCTTCCCCAACCACCCTAGGCATCCCAGTCCTTGCATCGCCTCGGCTAAATAATCCAACCCGCAGACGGAGAGGGGGCAAATAAAACATTAGGGTTATCATAGTAGTAAGAATAATAGCAGTTCCATCCACCCAACCAACCCGCCTACCTGCCTGTCCTTTCATTCGGTCCAGATCCCCAGGTTGCGAGATACCCTCCCCTGCCGGGTTCTCCCCAGTGCCTTCTCGGCTCCCAGAGCCTTGCTTCTGGCGTATGTACTTACACTGCAAAGGGCCGGAGATTCCCACCATTCGCCACAGGCTGTGTGCTGCAAATAAAACTTCCCGTCCTTCCTAGGCGAAGACGCGGATAGCCCAGACTGCAGGAGGGGAGAGGGAGAGAGGAATGCAATGCAGCTTCCTTTGCCAGTCCAGAGTATGTATCCACGTCCACACACGTACACGTCCACACACACACACACCACACACACACACACACACGTCAAAACCAAACGAGCACAGGGAAGAACTCCAGCTGTTTGGAGCTCAGTAGCAGCACCAGCTTAGATATTTCTGGTACAAAAAAGGAAAGGGAAGAGGACGAAGAGCAAAACAAAGTCTCCACGTAGAACTAATTACTGCGAGAGATTCTCCACCCCACCCCCACCTCCTTTTCGTTGTTGTTGTTTCTGCAGACGAATGTGATATGGAGTGCAGGGAACTGCTACTGTCACTGGCGTCTCTCTCTCTCTCTCTCTCTCTCTCTCTCTCTCTCTCTCTCTCTCTCTCTCTCTCTCTCTCTCTCTCTCTCTCTCTCTCTCTCTCTCTCTCCCTCCTCCCTCCCCTTCCTCTCTCTTGCTCCTCTCTCTCTCTCTCTCTCTCCCCTTTCTCCTTTCTCTGCCCCTCTTCCTCTCCTCTCACTCTCTAGGAAGGCGATGTATATATTTGCAGAGCTGCCTTGCGTCTGCCTCGGAGAAGAAGCTCCATGCAATCTGCGCGGCTCTGCCCGCAGAAGGCTCCCACGTATCAGTCTGGCTCCCTCTGCTCGCAGCCACCTCTCAAGTCAAACAACATACTGCCAGCAGCCCGCCCCGGCTCCGCTACCCAGGTGCAGGGTGGGGGAGGGCTTCAAGCAGTGGGAGGTGATAGAGGTAGGAGACATCTGTGTCGTGAGGAGGTCAGAGGGGTCAAGTATATGTTAACAATAGGAGAGCACAGTCTCTCGGGCAGTCTGCCTAGTCTTTCTGTCGTTCTCTCTCTTTTACAGGGTGGACATGGAACTTGCCTCCCTAATGATGCCTTCCCCAGGCTGCCTGCCTGCGTTATGAGTCCAGACTGCCCTGCAGTAACCCAAGACGAACACTTTCTCTAGCCATCTGGAGAGCTCCTGGCTTCTCTGCCTGTATCTCATCACTGTCTGAAGAGACAGCACTGCTAGAAATCAAGCCATTCTCAGATCTACTCTCTAATCCCCTTCTGTTAGCTGATTTTCAGTCTATTTGCTTTCGCATTAGATAATAGCCTTAGAGAAAACAATTATCATTTTCTTCCCCCCACCCTTATTTTTCCACTTCTCCTACCGTACTCCATTAAGGAAGGTCTCTTTTTTATGTAATTTTTTTTAAAGAGAAGAATATCAGGATACTTTGGGGAAGCCCCCCCAAGAAGCTAGGAGGAAAAGAATTCCAGATATTTCGAGTATCAATTAATAAACACCATGCAAAAAAATACTCAAATAATAACCATTAATATATGGGTCAGATATAATCAGAAATGGCTTGCAATGATCTAGTACAATGAAATCCATTTTAAAATACTATGACACAGAAACAACTGGAAATAATATTTTATTGAAAGCAAAATTGGAAATCTTATTTTGGGTTATCTTATTCCTGACAGAGCTTAAACTTGTAGCTTATATTGGTACAAAATTGAAAAAAAAATTTCCTCATGTGCTCTTTACTAACATGGTTGTAAATGAAAAATTGCCTAAGAAAAGACTCAGAAGCTCATAAGTAGAGAGCATAAAAAAAATAAAGTATGAAGAAAAATTGATATCTTTTTTTGTGTAACTAATTTAAAAACCAGTTGCCTAAATACTTAATGCTCAGGGGGGGAAAAAAAAACCCCTGCCTCCTTCCTTTCAAATAATACAGCTTAACAGTTCTCCAGCATTTATAGGCTCTACTAATTTTTAGCAATTCATTTACAGAAAACAATCATTGTGCATTCTGCCCTCTCCTAGGGACATCTGACTAATGAATTGTAATGGACTAATGAATTGTAATGTTAAATCCTGGTATCTGATATTATGATGCTTTTCAATTTGAATTCAGATTTTTTTCTAGTTTCAAATGCCATAGCAATTTCTGAATTAAGTAATGTCTTTATATTCAAATATTCCTTCACCTCAAAGGTATCTGCATAGTCTGAATAGCAGAAGAACTTAAAATGGTAAAGTTCTAAATTATGTGCATTACAATAATGTCTACTGTGTTGGAAGACACTATTGTAATGCAATATGATGTCAATCCTCACTGTGATTCAGCTTAAGGAATCAAAAGTTAATTCAAACTTCCAACCTTTTTTTACTGCCACCTTCTCAGAAAGTTAATGAAATTAATATATGGTACGTAGAATACACATGCTTATTTCAAATGGATGAAATAATATCTGGATAATAAATATATTTGTTAAAAATAATATTTAAAGTGCTTTTTAAAGTTAGAATACTAGGCACTTAAAATTTAAAAAACAAATTCATCATGTAAAAAATTCTGAAATATGCACATTAAACTTGATTTCACTTGAGGTAAATTTTGATGTAGGATTGTACAATTATAACAGAAACTTTGAATTTTAAAATGCATTACTGAAAAATTATTTGGAAAAATCAAAAGTTTTAAGTTAATGCTATATTCAATGCCAAGAAATGTTTTTGTTACATTTAATGGTTATAAAAATACTCTGTTTTGCTGGTCATACTTCTGGAAAAATAATAAACAGTGTTTTTCCCCCTCCCTATTTTATAGCCTTTTTAAAAAGTATATATACTTTTCTATATTCTACCTTGCTTTGAATCAGGCCAAAATAGTTCACCTCATCTGAGATCCTTATGTGCTAGGGTAGGAAAATGTGCTTTTAATTGATAAAAGAAAATTCAGCATACTTCTCACAATAATCATCGACCTTCCCATTTATGCTTCTCTTTACATTAAATTTTTCTGGTTCTTAATGTATGGAATTCCTTTCATTTACCCAACATTTACTACACTTTACAGGAAATTTCTCAGAGATGCTTAGTAGCTGCTTCCTATACAGTTGTAAGTGAGTGCTTAGTGCCTTCTTTAGAGATGCATAGTTTACCTATAACAATTTCACGAGAGGGATTCCTATACAAGATGTTAATAAGTACTTAACACTTTTAGAGATGTCTTCTAGGCAATGTCAGCTCAAACTAGCATTGAGGTGTGAGCTGTAATAATCTGCCCCTTGAGAAAGCTCTGTTGGTTGCCTAGAAAGAGAAAAGGCCTCAATTAACACTTTATTCAGCTCTTACAATTATGATTTATTATTGTAGCTGAAATTAAAGAATGACAAGCCATATCCTGGGAAACTATTCATTTCCCCTATATTACACTCTTCTACAATAGGTATACTCCACCTAATGTCTTGCAAAAATGTAATGTTAAACAAAAGAGTTTTCCATGGTCAGATATTTATAATAGTTGTAAATTATGACAAATTAGTTATAGAAGTTATAAATAGATGTTTGGTTGGATAACACAGCAAGGTTTCCCCTTGTTAGGTTGAATTTGATTATAATGAATTGACAGCATTCATTAGAAATGACAAATGGGTCAGGGTAATATTTGCTGCAAATGGTCATGTTTTCCACCCTCCATCCTGATCCTCAAATGTGTTTGGTTTTTTTTCAGGATTTAATTTTCTAAAATTACTCTTAGAAATTTTAATGCTTTAAGTTACGTACTATAATTTATAAATAAAGTGACAAACTTGAAAATACGTGGAAAAAAAATTTTATGAATTCTAAACCTATCTCAATCTGTAAACTAGATTATGCATGGTACAAGTGATATAGAATAAAATTTAACAAGCATCAAAGTGTATCCTAAATGCTTAAGAATGTAATCAAATTAAACAGGAATTTGAATTTGTAAATATTAACTTACCCTAAAGTTGACAATCGTTATTGCCATCTAGACACTGAGCTATTGGATATGATTTAGCTGTAGTCAGTCCTTCTGAGACCTTTTGTCCACTCTGAGTCTATGAGAATTGGTTGCATGTGTGTGCTAATATGACCTGATTTTAAAAAAACAAAAAACAAACAAACAAAAAACTAGAGGAAAACTCACACTTTTTAAAAATCAATAAATTAGAGAATTTTTGTGGCCAAATGATTGTTTTATCAAAGTATCCATTGTCGTGTTCCTCTAAATGGTAAGCTACCCTAGTAGATATAAATATGATTGTTTGGTCAAAGTTCATTCACACTCAATTTTTCAGGATCACATCTAATATAAATAATGAAATGTGTCTCTATTTTATATGTATAGATGTATAATATACAGAAACAGCTCAGGAACTATCTCATGTGCCCTTTTAGAACAGTTGCATGGATATAAGTGACTCCCAAGAGAACATCTTCCTATCTTGCTGATTGTTCTCAACATTATACTGAATGCCTTCCCCCCCCCTTCTTTGCCTTTTATTTGAAATAATCGATATTCTATGTATTTCGTAGTCTGTGCTTCTTGAAACTATCTTTTCATAGATTTCTTTCCCATTCTTATTCTTCTTGCCAAGTATAATGAGGTACTTTTAAGTCACTAGAAATGTTTTCACACTGCCAAGACAATGGGGTGAAAAGGAGGAAAAATCATCAGCCAGTCATCCAGATGTTTTGTCTACAAAAGGACAAATAACACCAGTTTGACTGTGGGATTTTGTTTTTAATTGAACTGACTAGTTTTCTGACTCAACTGTTTGCAGTCTGAGTTTTCAACATGACCAAGATTTTAAATGAATGATGAAGCTATGATCAGTGATCATTGTGAGCATGGTTCAAATGGTGCACAGGAAATGGAAAAGGTATGCAAATCTATATATTTCAGTTTAGCTGTGGATAAAAATCAATTTCATTTCTTTGATAAGTATTACACTCACTTTGAAGGAATAAGCTAACAGCCACAAGCAGTTTGGTAAAATTCTATGCAAATGAACTTTAGATGAATGGACAACTGTTTATTAGTTAAATTAATTTTAATTTGCATATTGCATGGTTATTTTTCTCCCCTTCATCTAACTCCATGGGACAGCAGCACTGCCACTTAGAAAAAGGAGCAGGGTATCCCTAGAAAATCAGAGCTTAGCTACATAGGAACTATGTGTATCTAAGGTACACACATTAAACCCACTTTCGTGCACATTAAACCCACTCTTTAAAAGATATACATGGATAGTATTTTAATCATCTCATTTCCCCTAATCCTTAGAAAAGGGTAATTTGCCCCCACAGAGCACTCTTCAGCCTGATGAATCCCACGTCACCTCATAAAGTCTTTTCATACAGGAATCACTTCATCACTGTAGTGTAACCACCTCTGGGGAGAGAAGCAAGAGCCAACTGGCTCCCTGTACGACAGTGGGAAGAGAAAGAAATTTTGGCCAAGAAAACCATAGAAAATATTAACTACTATTAGTCATAATCAGCAATGGATTTATTTTGCACAGTTCTACTGTACTTTCTTAAAATAACAAATCTAATAGCTGATATGTATATATAAGAAAAAATGAATGAATAATTAAATGAATGAATGAAAAGGCATTTTTTAGGCTCACCTACTACTTGCTAGGTGCTGAAAAAAGACCAAAGTGAGATAGTTCCAAAAGACCAAAGATGGACAGGGGCCAGCTTGGCTCCCTGACCTCAAGGAGAGGGCACTCCCCTAGATGTACATACATACATATATACATACATACATACACACATACATACATACACACATACACATACATACATACATACATACATATGTTGTGTGTTACTTGAATATTTACAAAGAATTTTAAATGAATTAAACCATCCAACCTTCACAAAAGCCCACTGAGGTAGGTTCTCCTATTATTGCCATGTTTAGATAAAGTAACAAGCTCAGAGAAGTAAAGGTCTAGCCAAAAAGTGATCTCATTGTCATGAAAAACAGGACGATATGGTATGACCAAAGTGTTATTCTGCCTACTTTCCCAATTATACGTTGTCTTTCCTTGAGGAAACAGTTAACCAAAAGGCACTTCACTTTAGCTACCAATAATATGGTCAGTGAGATTTTTCATCCACCTTACTTTAAAGAAGAGTATCATTAAAGCATGGGGAAGCTAGATGGTGAAATAGAAAGAGTGCCAGGCCTGCAGTCAGGAAGACTCATCTTCCCAAGTTCAAATCTGGCCTTAGACACTTACTAGCTGTGTGACCCTGGGCAACTCACTTAACCCTTGTTTGCCTCAGTTTCCTCATCTGGAAAATGAGCTGGAGAAAGTAATGGCACCACTCCATTATCTTTGCCAAGAAAACCCCAAATGGGGTCCTGGAGAGTCATCCACCTGAAGAGCAACAAATCATTAAAGTATATTTGCTGAGTACTTATCTCCTTAGGAAAAAGAGAATTACAAAAAGTTTGCAAAGCACCTAAATTAGTTCATCCAAGCTTCACAAAAACCTAGTAAGGTAGATAAAGCTAGTATTTTCACCCCCTTTTTACAGATTAAGAAACTGAGGCCCAAGGAGGCTGTCATTTGCCTGTGGTCACATAGGTAAATGTGGAAAAGACACTATATTATGCTTCCTTTCCTCGAATATAAAATCTTAGTGAACTTCTACTACTCCAATCCCCTTATTTCATAGAAGAGGCCCAGAGAAAGGAAGTAACTTATCTAAGGTCTCACACCTAGCATATAGTCTCACAAACTATTGAATTTGTACTTGAAATTTTTTTGGACAAATTATTTCTTTAGCATAATGTTACAAAATTAAGAAGTAGGGTTTTTTTGTTTTTGGTTTTGGTTTTTGGTTTCTTAGTAAACCACTTTTAACCTCCCCTGAATGCTTTTATTATTTATTTGTTTTATTATTTATTATTTACTTTTGAACAAGTATCTTCTCTTCTCAAAATATTAGCCTGATAAAGCAAAAATGGACTTTTTCCCTTCCTGTTAACAGAGTGTATAGTGTGTAAATATACCCAAAAGGAACAGCCTGGAAACAGTTATATTCCTTCTCCCCATTAATGTCAAAGTGTGGGATGCTTTTGATTCTGAATTTTTCAGGAGCATTGAGGGCATATCATATTATTTGACATCGACATACATGAGCAGCAGGAAAGCTTGGATGTGTGGGCAAGAGTGCATGTATGCACACATACTTAGCCTGAGCTCGTGCAAATGCATATGTAGCATTCATATGCACACACACACACACACACACACACACACACACACACACACACACACACACACACACAGAGGATACCCTCTCTAATGGGGGAAACCACTGCCCTGAGACACATGGATGCAATTCCTTAACTTCCCCCACCTGCTGGGCAGCCACCTGCTATAAACAATAGCAGCCCATTATCAGACGGTAATAAAATAAGCAGTCCCATAGCCGTTTACCTAAACAAGACTAGGAGCTCCTCCAAAACTGAGCTGGAAGCAGGGTGATTACTGCTTACTAGGCAGAGGGTGAGGCCTCTTGTGACAGTCTCTAAAGGGCCAGTGATAACCCTTCCTGGAGGCTGGCATTCTGCATTTGCCTGGTACTTAACTAGACACATTGGCCACCTGCAATGTGTGAGGTGGGGGAATGGGGGGGAGTTACTATGCAGTAATGAATCCAAGGTGCTCAAGTGATTCCAGGCTTTTTTGTGCCTACAGAATCTCAGCCTATCCCCACTCCCTTTGCCCCCTCCCCACCTCTCTGCTTCCTTAAAACTGGGCTACAGGAAGCCTTCCCCAA